CTGGCGCGGTTGGCGAAGGCGACCCCGTCGAAAAGACGGCTAACAACATTCCTCCGATCCCATGGATCGAAGTCAGCCAACTGCGCAAAGCCGGTTGGACTGTAATCGGTGGAAACCCAGCTGCTAAAGTACATCGCTTGCCCAAGACGTTCCGCGCTTTCCCTAAGCATCGTATTCGTACGACATGGGGGTACAAGGATGATGCATGGACTATCTTGGAAGATGCTGTGAATATTGACGAGCTTGAGGGCATTTACGGAGAATTACCTGAGGGCGCTGTTGCGAGCATAACATTGTTTGCTTTACCCGAAGGTGTCGAGGAATCACAAGCCGACAGCGATGTCGAGCCCCCTTTCGGTGCCGAAGTCTAAGAAAGATGAAGCATCATCGAGGGCTGAAGCTGCCTCCGTTGAGCATAAGCTCACACACAGACCAAAGAATCCCTTTTGCCCTGTATGTCAGCAAGCAAAGATGTACGCACCACAAGCGCGCAGAACTGGTGGATCTTCCACCATTCACAGCAAAGCCTTCGGAGATCACAGTACTGCCGATCATATCATCGCAACGGATGCAAAGGACTACGGATTCCAAGATGAGACTGCAGTCCACGCTGTCAACGACGCGTACCCGGCATCCAACAGAACGGGAGCGCAGTGCTATGAGGACATGATGCATTTCCTGACTGTTGATCAAGTCAAAGTGATCTATTCCGATAACGGTCACAAAGCCACATCTAGAGCCTACGTTGACGAAAACAAGGCTGTGATCGAGCGCGAGATCAGAACCGTCCTTGAGGGCGCCCGTTCAAATTTGGTGCAATCTGGCCTTCCAGACAGGTACTGGCCGATTGTGGCACAACACCGCACGATGAGCCTTAACGTCACGATGAGGCAAACAACGGGCTCGTGCCATGGACCATTCGGTTTGGCGACATTTTTAGTGGGGAGAAGATACCTTTCGGAGCCAAAGTCCTTTATTGGGCACCCCCAAAGCAGAAGATCCCACAAAGGTCCAAGTTTGCTGGTGCTG